TAAACCACTAACTAAAAAACTTGAAAAATATTCTAAAATTATCTCCAATTTTCACATACAATCCTAAAAATGATGGATTTTATGAATGTTATCTTAATTTTTAGATACATTAAATATAAATATATTATAAAAATTACTTTGCTCATGAGCTCATCATGATCACATTATCAACAAATAAAATATTTTTTATTTTGGCTGAAAGCAGGTGAAAATACTCATATAAATTGTAGCTGACATAAGCCTTAGCTGCTCATTAAGAGGGTTGGTGTGAGAAGCCATTGAATAACATGAAGAAAACCTCTACGGACAGCTTTCTATTTCTTAGAAGTCAAATCGAAGTTTCCAGAATGAAAAAAGTCAAATCGTTGCTTTTTTTTTTTTTTTTTAATTTCATTTTCTCGTTAGAAAGTTAGGAGAGTATTTGAACCAACAATTAATCAAATTAAAATTTAGAACTTTTGAATTTGTTTTAAAATAAATATAATATAAAAGAAATTGATTATTTATGTTATTTTCATTTCAAAATATATCAAAAATTTCAAGATCAATCTAATTAAATAATGACCAGAATATTTTAAAATTTTTTTAATGAGGCATACACTAATTATCTCTAATTATAAGAATTATCATGAAGCTTATCTTGGACTGATAGCACAAGGAAGTGCATAAAGCCATCCGTTGGACCAATTTGGTTCAATTTACTACTTAAAAGTAGTTAAACTTGAGCTATACATATACATCAATAAAATTTGCCATATGACTAATCTAGAAACACTTTTTAGGCAAAAAAAAATTTTCAAACTCCAATTAAACATCGTCCAGAACTCCAACTTTAACAAACTCATAGTCAAACTGTCTGGATCAACGAGATGAACATAATGACATTAAAATTTGTCCAATCAAAGTTAAATCAAGCCCATATCAAGTGATTAAACTACTTTTGGAAGCTTGGTGCTATTAATTGGAATATCATATGAATTTTAAATATGACGAGCTTATAGTCGAATCAACGAACCCAAGATCACTCAATTACAACAAAGTCAAGGCACTTGAATGTCCATCAAACAACATTCGATCGAGGGAATTTTTGTGGGTTGGGTCGTCTGATGGTACTAGCTGGACTCATTCCTTATTTGCATGGAGGTCTCTCACAGACTTTATGAATAGAGCCTTACCTCCTTCAAGAAAAGGGTCCTAGGGCTTGAAACGGAAGAAGAGTTAGACCTGAAGCTTGTTCACAAAGAAGAAGTTGAATTCCAATGTCGTTCCAGACCAAAATCTGTCGAACGTTTTTTCACCCCTTTAGGCACTGACCACCGCTGACCAACCACCATCGACCACCGCAGACTGCCCCTTGCTCCTTACAGTGAAGCTCTGTGCAGAAAATCCCAGAGTACGATGCAGAGTATCAAAACACTGTGTGGAATAACCACCAACGTCACGAGGTAACGAAACATTGTGCGGAGTGATCACCTACCCTACAAAGTAACGGACTATCCCATGGAACAACGCATTGTCATGAACACGGTGTAGTGATGCGCCATGCAAACAACCTAACATGCCCCTGACGACCAGCCATAATAGCGACTGCTCTTAACTGTTGTGCAACAATTTTTTGGCCCACGAACATTTTACTTTGAGGAATTTTGTAACTCTTTCATGCATGTGGGAGAAGAGCCAGGGAGTGTAGTCGCTAACTCATAGTAGATTATTTCAACTGAGTTAGATCCTTTAGTTCATTCACTTTTGGGTTTTTTACGCAAAAACTTCTAATATATTTATAAGTACTTCTATTATCTAAGCGTGTCGAATTTTACTATAATGCTAAAATACTAAATAATCACTATATATATATACCGTCTCGAATCTTTCAACACATATCATATATATAGTAACATACGTAAATAATCAACCTTATCTCTCTCTCTCTCTCTCTCTCTCTCTCTCTCTCTCTCTCGTATAATCAACCTTATCTCTCTCTCTCTCTCTCTCTCTCTCTCTCTCTCTCTCTCGTATAATCAACCTTATCTCTCTCTCTCTCTCTCTCTCTCTCTCTCTCTCTCTCTCTGTTTGTTTTGTCCGAATTACTTTTCTATATATATTTATTTTGTTTAGTTGGAATTGAGTTTTGATTATCTATACATTTTTTATTTGTTTTATTATATATATTACACGAATTTTAAAACTTAAACAAATGTGTTTTACTATGTGGATACATCTTGTTAACGATCTTAACATAATTTCTTAACGCATTAAAACATTTTATCGGGTTTAGTTTTAATATTAAAAGTGTAATTTGGATAATTAAAGATTCTATGTCCAATTTAAATTTCAAAGCTCTAAAAATGAAAAAGCAATATCTAAATTTAAAATTTTAACTCTAAATAATACATTTAATTTACTAAAATCAGCTGTCACCTTATTTTGATATTTCTAAAGTTTCAAATAATATGACTATCCAGTTGAAAATATATTTAAAGTATAGACTAAGGAAATCATGGTTTTATTTGTTGCAGATCATAGCTATTCATTTATTTTAGATCCTATTAAATGTTAATCATCTAAAACTTCATTTAAAACTAACATATAATATTTTAATATTTATACCTGATACGTCATCAACAAATTTTCATCGGCCGGCACGAATCTCGGTACAATTTTTTAAACACGAAACATTCAAACTTCGATTAAGAGTCAACCAGAGCTTCGATTTCAGCAAAATTATAGTCAAACTAATCGACTTGATGAGATAGACCTAATGATATGAAAGTCAGTCCAGATCAAATCATTAAACCACTCTTGGAAGATTTCTAGAGGCATTTGAAAGGTCAAACGGATGTCGAATCTAGCGAGTTCATAGTCAAATCGAGCATCTCGATAAGACGAATCCAACGAGTTCAAGATTGGTGAATTTCGACATTGTTAAGGCACTCAAATGTCCATCAAACGTCATCTGATCAAGGGAAGCTCTCCAGACCATCCGATCAAAATGGTTCATATTCTTGCATTAATTGCACTCAAAACACTATAAATAAGAGCCTCACCCCTCACATGAAAGGGGGAGGCTTGAGAGAGAACTTGAGGCTTTAAGAAAGAGCTCAAGTCCAACATCACCCAGTCATCGTAGACCTCCGTCGACCACCGCCGACCTCCGTCAACCACCGCCGACCTCTGTCGACCACCGCCGACCGCCGTAGTCCACCGCCGACCGTCGTCGACCACCGCTGATCTTTGTTGACCACCGTCATCTACCTTCGACCATCGCCGATCGTCACTGACTTCCTTCGACCACAGTCGACCGTCATCGACTATCGTCGACCACCGCTAACATCCATCAACTACTACCGATCATCATCGATTGTCGTCGACTACCGTCAATCACCGCCGACCTCCGTCGATCGTCAGTTGACATTGTAACTTGAAAAGCTAATAACATTTTCCCGTCTGCGAGACAAGGGGCCTCTGTAATCATCAACTCATAGTGGATTTTTTTAACATGGTCAGACCCCGTGGTTTTTTTACTTTTACGGATTTTCCACGTAAATACTTCTGGTGCCATCACTGGTTTTTTCACATTCATCTGAGTGTGTGTTGAATCCTCGTGCAACGCTAAGTCGATAATCCATTACTCTACCACCGCGAATTTTTCAGCACACATCAATACCCATGGCTTTTTCAGCTTACAATTAAGATTTAATATTCATTTCAAATGTTTGATAACTTTATATTTTAAAAAATATTTAAGAAACTATCATCTATTTAATTTAAATGATTTAAATTGATTAAACTTTTTCATCTATTCAATAAAAATAACAATCGATAATCAAGGTAAGATCATCAACTGGCGTGACTGAAAGTTTTGAAATTTTCGAAACAAAAAAGAAATCATAAAAGACTCTGAAAGGGAAACCAAAACCGAATATAAAAAGTATATTTTTATTCAATGACTTTTTACCGACTACTACTGTCATTGCTGGGTCTGAAGTCCTGGATGAGAAAAACATAGAGTTGTGTTAGGTAGTTTGACAGCCAGCGTAAATTTTGTGAAAAAATCAAGGCTTGAATCATTTAAATCTGTGTTATGGGATAAAGGCTTGTTATTGCTATTGTTGTTGTTGATTTTTTATTGACTACTATTTGGTTTCTTATAATTTAATTATTTCAATTTATAATTGTATTTTAACATGACCATTAACCTTTTTAAGTATAAAATAAATTTAAAAAACAATTGTTATTTATTTCATTTCTTTCTTATTAATAATTTTAGGTCGCTTACATATGTACGACCCAATTCTTATGTATTTACTTTATTTTCATATATTAATAGCACCCAAATCTTATATATCACGTCAAATCACCACCATTTAAGACATTTTTTTCATGGATAGGCAAGGTGGCATGTATGTAAAAATTGAATTTTATTTGTCAAATATGTAAGCACTTAGGAATTGAGTGGTATGTACGTGAATCTTATCTAATTTTTTCGTTTAGTTTCGCCAAATTCTCTTAATCAACTTTTATAAAGAATGCGTGGAACTAATCTATTCAATTATCATTAAGTCGTCCAAATTACTGATTAAGACTGGCTAATTCGTTTAATAAAAAATTAATTACATCCGGCATGTGCATTTTTGCAAACCAATTACAAATGAAACACACGATAACCCCATGCGTGTTCCACACACAAAAATTTCCTTTCTTGTCGGCTTCAAATAGTTTCTACCGCCACATAACCGTAAAGAAAACTATTCTTATAGTAAAATTTATTTTCCTAATTCTACATCTAATTATGTAATTAATCATTCTGATTATGTAACTCATTAGTCATCTTCACCCAAAACTATATAGACCAATAGTTCTAGAAATTTTATTTCATCTTTTTAATTATTAATTATACTTTTATTTTTTTAGTGGGATAATTAAGTTCACTGACCATATAAAAACAACATACAAAAAAACAGAAAACAACAACATTGCTACAAATGAGTGGTTAACAATATACATTCCTGCCCCCATCTTTTTAATTTTCCAATGGGGTTAGGTTTGGTCATTCATCAATCCATCTCCATATAGTTGTTTCATACATGTTCAAAACATGGATTAGATCACATAATACTAATAAAGTAATGCCGTTAGGAGCTGCCCATTGATGATAATGATGATGATGTTGGTGAGTCGCAATCATCAAGATCATTAAAAATCCAAAATTCATCATCCTCATCTTCTTCCGACTCTGGCATCTTCCAACGCTCCGACGACATGTCGCCGTTATTGATGATGTCCAACACCTAACATCATATATAGATTTGCTATGTTATGATAAGCGGCACGTGTTTCTACACATGTATATGTATATGTATGTATGCATCATTTAAATTCATATGACACGATTTCTATGTTTTTACAAATCTAACTCCTATATTTTAATTTTTTACATTTTACGCCACCAAAGTCTTTCATATCACATAAAAAATTTCATCATTTTAAGTTTTAAAAGGTGAAACAAACAATTTCATGCCTTGTTATAAATCACCATCATATTAATTAAAGTTTCCAACCTATAAACTATTGCTTACATGAGCATCATGTGAAAGATAGGTGTGTGTGGTCCTTTGCTGATCAACGTAAATAAGAAATAAGCAGAACTTTCTAATCTTAAATCTTATGGCTGGCTTTTCATGCGCATGAAAGCAATAATAGAAGCAAATTAAACATAAAGATGAAGACATTAATTGTCATTTTTCTTGAATTGGTCAAATCTTTCAAGCTGTTTTTATGTTTTTTTTTTTTTTTCTTACAAATTATGTTAGCTCTTAATCCAAAGCGACAGACAGAATAGTAACGTCAACCCTGAATATGTTTTGTTTTACTTATATATATATATATATATATAAGGCAATGTTCTTCTCATTCATACAGAAGCAACATCATATTGAGTAGCGGAAGTGACAATGAAAGAATAATATATAAGCATGGAAGGCTGTAGATCACCAAACTTTGATCAAATATTTTCCTGATACTAATCATTTTTTATTTGGAAGGTAAAGTTTTCTTATTCATTATTTAATATCCCAATCTTTCTTCACCAACACCAACAATATCTTTAACTTTTTTCCTAAATAAAATTATCTGGGAATTACTGTATATTATATCAATTTCAGTATGTTGTAATATCTGAATTTAAAAAAAAAAGATTTTTAATTAAATAAAAATGATAACAAATTATAACCATATTAGTTAGTGATTACCTGAGTCATGGAAGGGCGCCATGTTGCATTTGCTCTGATGCATAGGGAAGCTATGAAGGTGAGTCTCTTCAATTGATTAATATCATAATCCTCTCCTAACCTTGCATCTACTAACATTTCTAACTTTCCATCATTTAAATAGGGTTTGGCCTGCAATAAAATATCTTTATTTAGAAGCTGAAAGAGATGATAATGAAAAAATGATGTCATGAAACATATAATTATAATTCAGATGAATACCCAGCTAAGCAGACTTCTGTGGGATCCATCTACAGGTTTTCTCCCTGATATCATCTCCAATATGAATACTCCATATGCAAAAACATCAGTTTTCTCGTCCACAATCCCATGCGTGAAGTACTCTGGCGCTAAGCACCTAATTAATCATACATATATATTTATACATTATGCAGCTAAAATCTAATAGAATGACATGAAAAATGACCAACCCAAAGGTGCCTTCGATCGGTGCGACGGAGCGATGATTCCACTCTGATGGAAGCCATTTTGCAAGCCCAAAGTCTGAAATCTGAAAACAAAAAGAACAAACATTTAACATTACATGTTATCATAAAAATGTTCTATGCCAAAGTTGAGAACATTAATCATTATTTATGTAGATGAACCTGAGGCTCAAAGCTCGCCGACAGCAAAACGTTCGATGTCTTGATATCCCTGTGAATGATCCTTCTCTGGCATCCCTTGGTGCAGATAATGGAGGTTCGATGTCTTGATATCCCTGTGAATGATCCTTCTCTGGCATCCCTTGTGCAGATAATGGAGACCTCGAGTCGTTCCGACCACAATTTTATACCGGAGTTTCCATTCCATTGGAGGTGAATTTGCATCTGCATAATTGACATCAACGAAAACCACACATCAAGCTGAGTTTTTTTATGTGAAATCACTAGATTTTCTTCTTGAATCAGTTGCATACTATGGAGATTCGATGAAACAGAGCCACGAGAAGAGAATTCGAAGATGAGATGCAGGTCTTGATCAATGCAACAGCCCAAAAATGCAGTCACATTGGGGTGCCTGACATGACCAACAGTTCCTAGCTCTGTTAAGAACTCCTTCTCCTTCTGTTCATCGGTGGCTGCTGTTGTCAACCTCTTCACTGCAATAATTTGACCATTTTGGAGCTCTCCCCGGAAAACTTCAGCATAACCTCCTGTTCCAACTAAATTATCTGCACAGAATAAAAAAATATATATGATTTTGTAAGCAAACCAACAAACAAGTTGAGGACTTTAGACACGGGTGGTGTACTCAGTACACAATTTGATTACTTCGATGAAAACCATTAGTTGCTCTGTGAATCTCCTCATAGGAGAAGCATCTCCATGTGGGCTTCTGCGCTGGCTTCACTGCAGGTTCGTCCTTGCCGGAAATAATGGCAGTGCCGGCAGAACGCTTCTCGCAGATGCGGGAGGGGGAGGGAGAGAAGAAGATGTGCTTCAGGCTTCTGCTTCTTAGATACAACTGTTTCATTCTCCAAATACACTAAATCTTTAAGCTTTAGGAAGAAGAACAGAGAAGAAAAGAGGAAATCTGAAGAAGAATTAAGCAGTAAATTGAAGAAGAACAGAGGATGGGCTAAGCAGTTATAGCAGAAAGAGCTTACTAGAGTAAACCAGGTTACTGTATGGATATCTGTTACTATAAGAAAAATGAAAATGGTGACGAACTGTTTTTTCTGTGAACGAATTTATGGAGGTAGGGGAGGGAAGTTGGCTTATTGGTGAGAATGATGGAAATCAATCAGGGCCGTTGATTTGATAGATTTGATCCATTAATTATGCCCAAGATGCTTGGAATTCCTTGGTCTCGTAGTAATTGCAGAGTAGCGGGACTCTTTAACGTTGAAATCTGTAAGAGACCTTAGCACTCCAAGGTTTTTGCTTAGCTTGCCAAGATTTGATTTTATATCATTACTAAATTTGTATTTATAAGAAAAAAAGAGTTTTTTCTAAATATTTAAAGGAATCAAAATTATATTTTGGTCCAAGTTCATGACTAATCTAATAGGAATATTATTTTTTTTCAATAAGAACTTAGTTGTAATATTTCTTTTCTTATCTTTTTGGATTGCCATTTCGATGAATGCATGAATGAGAGCAAGCTATCTTATCCATGATGGATTTTGTTTTTGTAACTCAAAATTGATCAATTAACAATACTTAATATCTATAAAGAAGTGAAAGGATCGGTAGATAAATTCTTGTGGTGTGCTCGTAAATTCATGTGATAGAGTGATATATTGACATGCTAGTGTTGTACAAACATCAGACCCGAAAAACCTGATAGCATAATGAACGATGAGACGTAACCCAGTTGAAATGATTTCACTATATTGATGTTGGTTATGAGATTTTATCTGCTCTTGACCAGCCAAAAGCAATATTACATAAGTGAGAGTTGTCAACTTGACTTTTGCTAACAGTAATGCTTTGGAGAAGTGGGGGCGTCCTAATGCATGAGTACCATTATCCATAATATTGCATGAATTTAAACCACGCCATTAGACAACTTAGAGTGGTCCTTTCAATTAGAGGAGGTTTTATGAATATTTAGGTTCTTTAAAGATGCATGAGTTAAGTGATCTTGGGTTTGTTGGATTTGTCTCATCGAGACGCTCGAATTGACCATAAATTAGACAAATTTTAGAGATCATTTAATTCTCAAAATATATTTCAATGCTTCTCATTATGCTTTAAGTCTATGATCAAGACTCACTTGGGCTCATATCGAACCATCTTTGATGACAATTGACTCTTCTTATTAGTATACTTTAGCTCAATTAGTATAAATAATTCTTGATTTGTTATTTGTTGCTCTTGATTGATATGTGTTTTAAGGTTCGTGCATGAATAAGATAATTTATGGCGACATATACATATGATGTATATATATGAAATTTAAACTGATTGACGTCGAAGTGAATAAAATAGCACAAGAAAAATCACACCAGAAAAGAACATACAGATTTACGTGGTTCGACAAATTGTCAACATCCACAAAGTTGCAGAGGATTTTACTAATTGAGGAAATTACTCCTTTTGATCACGTCGAAAATTACAAGAAAGATATTTCTTACTTCCTCTCTCAATATCCGAGAGCCACAACAGAGGACAAGTGCAAAGAAAAGGAAACACCATAAGCAACAATTCCTTCTTACTATCTTCACCTCAAGCAAAAACTCCTTCCTGACTTCGTTGCAAGAAAGAACTCCTTCTTCTTGTCCTCAACACAAGCAAGAAATTCTTCCTTCATGTCTTTAACGCAAATCCTTCCTTCCTGTCATCAATGCAAGAACAAAATCATTCCTTCAACATTAGCATAAACTTGCGCATAGGGAGCGGAGGAAGAGAGTTTCTGTTTCGCAAAACAAGAGATAGGTGAGGCTTCAGTTTCGCGAATATATGCGAACCGAACGTGACGTGGGGCGGGAGACGTTCGAGTAATGGAAGGGAGGCGGGAGCAGTTTTTTTTTCATTTTCGTGGACCGTCTAAACTTAACAAATCTCCTACTTGGAGACCGGTACATAGACTACAACGTTCTTCCTCCTCAAACTGATATCCTCTACTGGTGGCGTAGTCCTTTTCCTCAAACATGTTGTCATCCACCTCTGCAACTCAAGGCCCATGTCTTCACACCAGAAGACCAACTGAAGCTACACACAACTTCAGTTTCTCCAGAGTAACACCCTTTGTCAACATATCAGCAGAGTTCTGACTTCCATAAATTTTTTCAAGCAATAATTATCTGTTATCCAATAATGACCGTATGAAGTGATACCTGATCTGAATGTGTTTTGTTCTGGACTGAAATGCTGGATTCCTGGCAAGGAATATGACGCTCTGACTATCACTGTAGAGTATGACCTTCTGATCCTTCTTGCTCAATTCTTTCAAGAAGCCCGGTAGCCATATCATCTCCTTTGTAGCCTCTGACACTGCTATATACTCAGCTTCTCTAGTAGACAACGAAACTGTCTTATGCATATTAGAGCCCCATGATACTGCAGTGCCACCAATAGCATAAATATAGCATGTAGTACTTCTTCTAGTATCAATATCTCCAGTTAGATCAGCATCAATATAGCCACGTACCTCTAAACTCTTTCCTGAGAAACACAAGCAAGTTCCTGAAAAGCCTCTTAGGTGTCTCAAGATCCACTTCACTGCTTCCCATTGTTCCTTTCCAGGTCCAGGATTACTCATGTATCTGCTAACCATGAATCTGCTAACGACTCCCACTGCATGGGCAATATCAGGTCTGGTACAAACCATATTATACATAAGTGAACCAATAGTTGAAGCACAAGAAATCTTACTCATGTAATCTTGTTCCTCCTCTGACTTGGGTGACTGATTCTTGTTGAGTCTAAAGTGACTTCCCAAGGGTGTGTCAACTGGTTTGGCCTTATCCATATAAAACCTGTTAAGTACTTTTTTCACATACTCAGCCTGAGAGAGTCTCAACATGTCTCTGACTCTATCTCTGACAATTACCATGCCAAGGATTTGCTTTGCCGCTCCCAAATCCTTCATTGTAAAATGCTCTGACATCTGCTCCTTCAGATTATTGATCTCATCAATATTAGCACCTGCGATAAGCATGTCATCCACGCACAACAATAGAATGATATATGAATTGTCAAAATACCTGACATAACAACAGTGATCTGTCTGACATCTGCTGTAGCCTGCACTATGCATGAAATTATCAAATTTCTTGTACCATTGTCTAGGAGCTTGCTTCAGGCCATACAAGCTCTTCTTCAATCTGCAAACTGACTCTTCCTTTCCTGGTGCCACGAACCCTTCAGGTTGGTGCATGTAGATGTCTTCTCCAAGTTCCCCATGAAGAAAAGTTGTCTTCACATCTACTGCTCAAGGAAGAGATCTTCAATAGCCACCATAGACAGTACCATTCTGATGGTTGTAAGCTTCGTCACAGGAGAGAAAATCTGTCACAGGATTCGTCACAGGAGAGAAAATCTCAGAATAATCAATACCATGCTTATGTTGAAAACCCTTTACAATAAGTCTAGCCTTGTACATCTTACTACTATCATGCTCAGTCTTCACCTAGTACACCCACTTGTTGTGTAATGCCTTCTTCCCAGTTGGAAGATCTGCTAACTCCCAAGTCTGATTTTCAAGCAGAGAATCCATCTCCTCCTTCATGGCTAGCTCCCACTTGCTCAAATTTTCATCTTGCAAGATTTTTTCATAACTCTGAGGTTCTCCACCATCTGTCAGCAAAATGTAGTTTAAAGTTGGAGAATAACACTGTGGAGAACGTTTAGCTCTTTTTTACCTGCAAACTGCAACTATTGGGGTAGACTGCTCTGAAACTGATTATGGAACACTAGGAGTAGATGCCCCGGATCCACTCCCCTCGTCGCCTGCATCTCTGTCATGCAGTGCGACATCTAGTAAATCATCAAACTTTACCAACTCAGATTCCTTCAGTGTTGTTTCAGAAACTGTACTGGACTTGTCCTTGTACATAACATTCTCATTGAAAACCACGTTCCTGCTCCTTATGATCTTCCGACTTCCTTATGATTTGCTCCTTATGATCTTTCGACTCTGATCATCCCAAAAATGATATCCAAATGCCTTATCTCCATAACCAATGAAATAACACCTCTTTGACTTAGCCTCAAGCTTGCTACGAGCATCAGGATTAATGAGAATATAAGAAAGTTAACCAAAATTCTTAAGGTGAGAAAATTTGACCTCTTTCCCACTCCAGACTTCTTCAGGTAATTCACAGTTTAATGGAACAAATGAACCCCTGTTGATCAAATAAATTGCAATACTGATCGCTTCTGCTGGTAGTCTAGCGTGCAATCTCATGCTTCAAGCCCGCTCATTAATGTTCCTGTTCATGCGCTCTGCAACACCATTTTGTTGTGGTGTTCCTGGAATGGTCTTCTCCATCCTGATTCCCTGAGATGCACAGTACTCCTTGAACCCACCATCAATGTACTCACCATCATTATCAGACCTCAGACATTTCAGCTTTAAGCATGTCTCTGTCTCAACCATGGTCTTCCAAGTCTTGAACACACTGAATACATCAGTTTTATACTTCAAGAAATAAACACATACCTTTATGTTATGATCATCAATAAATGTGACATAGTAACGAGATCCTCCAATAGATACCAATGGAGAAGGTCCCCACACATCTGTGTGTACAAGATTTAGCTTTCCTGCCTTTGGCGTCCTGCCACCTTTCAAGAAACTGACATTCCTCTACTTCCCCATAATGCAACTCTCGCACATGCTGAATCAATTGACTTCAGTTCTGGTAGCTTGCCTCTGGACTGAAGTTCCTTCATACCTCTTTGACTCATGTGTTCAAGTCTACAATGCCACAACTCTGTTGGGTTGTCTGCAACAGTAATATCAACACTGTTAATTAAGTCAGTAGTCATATATAACACACCAGTTTTCTTACCCCTAGCCAATAACAATGCTCCTTTAGTAATCTTCCAGGTACTATCTGAGAAAACTAATGAATGTCCACATTCATCAAGTTGCCCAACAGAAATAAGGTTCTTCTTCAGTTAAGGAATGTATCTGACCTTTTGCAGAGTCCACTTGTTCTTGTTTGGAAGTGCAATGTCAATATCTCACATTCCTACCACGTTCAGAGCTTCTCCATCTGCCAGATATACTTTCCTAAAGTCACCTGCAACATAATTCTGCATCATTTCCCGATGGAAAATTGTATGGAAAGAAGCTTCTGAATCCAGTATCCAGTTATCAACAGGACTATGAA